ATTTATTATGACACTAGGTTACGTGATGTGTAGTAAGATGGACCGGATGTCTGCTCATTAGTATACCGTTTGCAACCATTAGAACCGGACAAAAACAAGCCCGTATTCTTACAACAATCGTTTCTTCACACGGGGATAATTGAGAAATTTCTCTCCTCATTGTGTCCTATTATTTGTGCTGATGCTATGTATGCTATCCGGTTCCGACTGACCTCACGTTTGGACTGTGACACTACTGAGATTTTCTGAATTTTCCGCCTCATCCGTTCACCTTCCTCCCATCACACAACTCTCCATTCCGTGCAGCTGATCTACCGGCCAGTTTAAAACAAGCCGTTCACGTGGGCTACGCGCAAGATCTGGCCGAACCATCTCCAAGTATGGCGTTGAATTGTGAAGCCAATCGTACGGCAACACTATGTCGTCCGCACTGTGGACAANCAAGGTGTGACCGGAACGACCATTGTATGGACATTGGAACGGATCACGGAAACCGGTTGGACCCGGGTCTACGATGTAGTAATAAGAGGACGACCGTTCGAGCCACAAGTGGTAGTACGGGACAATGTCGGTAAGTGATTGATCGAACAGTTGGTTGTTTGCCGCGGTATGGTGAAGGACGAACGATGTGCTGGGTTGGGAGGGTGGGGGTGAAGCACTGTTAAATCTTGCGTTGTTTAAATTAATCCGTCCAATCGAAAACAAATAGATGTCAGCGAAGATCGATTGCCGGGTCCGTGGCCGCGAAAATCGCTCAATCACTGTAGTTCGCACGTCTCAGCACGACCGGTTGAAAGTGGTCAGAGAGTACGTCAGTGTGTATGCGTGCGTGAGAGATTCCTGTCACAAATTTAAAGCAGTTGACTCTATCCGGCAGATAATACCTCAGTTTTGCATTGATGCAACCGACTTGGTCAAAATCAGTAGCATTTTCAATTATACGCATAGTCAACTTGGTGTGTGGACAGTAAGTCAGCTGAGCGCAATGAATTTTTTTCAGCCGAATAGGAGAATTCCAAACAATGAATGAATATAATCACTGAAGGATCAGAATGATTTGACATCTGGATCCAAATCTGCTACGGTCCTACAGACGGATTGAAAAATCGATCGAAACACCTATTGATGTCGTCCAGTTGATTGGTTCCCTTGGTTTAAATTCTGTTTGAATTTCAGGTATATTATCAATGTTCCTCTAGCCAACCGCATCGGCACTTCAAAACATATGATTTGAAGCTTTTTGGTCGAAGGTCGATTATCAAGTAGTAGCTCTCCAAAAGTTTAAATGGCACATTACTCCGGGACAGACTACGTTAAATGATATTTAGGAAAAACGAAAGGGAAAGAAATATTTCAAAATACTTCCTTTATCGACCTGATAGTAAGTGGATACCGGAGTTATCAGATTGGGGCAGGGAGTGGAATATAGCAGGATCCCCAGGGTATTTCACAAGTGGTCGTTATCCAGTCACATCCCCACTAATCTAAAATTTCTAATAGTCTGATCGTGACTTTCTTACTCAGAACCGATTTTGTGCGTGTTTGTCGGTTGATCAAGAGAAATAAAAATGCTTGAAATTTAAAAATTTCTGTTGAAATAGTTAGTTATTCAAGTCAAGTCAAGTCAAAAATCGCTTTATTCATCCTAATGGATGGATTATCAGCTTCTTGCACTCCAGGAACATTTATCGTCGCATTCAGCCCCAAAAAAGTGAAAAAACAGCATCGTAACTTCAAAGGAATGTGGAGTAAAACTTCGAAAATGAATATCGATTGCGTAGGAAATTCAAGAAGTTTTCTCTAACGGACGCATTTTGAGCCAGAAATCTCGAAAGATAGGGAATGACGGACAAACAACAGGCAGTGGTACGAGCGTACATCAGTTTAAAATGGCATCCAGTCACAGAGGTGGATGTGCATTGTTTAAGTGCTGTGTGTAACGGGTGAGTGGTTTCTGATAGAATATTGTTGCTGAAGTTATCGCAAGAGGCAAAATGTTTATCGGCGATAAAGGTAAGCAAGTGCAAATAAGGAATACCGCTTGTGCGAGAAATAATTTTAATAGACCGGCATAGAATTGTATAAGCTTTAACTCAAAGGTAGACAAATAAAACTGGGGAGCGGTAGAGAAGATGAGAACAACACAAGAATATACAAATCGAGNAAATCGAGTGAGTAAATACAGTGGAACTTTCAAAGAACTCAAGCGGGAAATAAAGAAACACAAAGGTTGAATCTTTACAAAAGTAGAATTTAAATGTGAGGTCCAGGTGAGATCTTGGCAGATAGTGACACCGAGGTATTGTAGAGAATTTACCGGGGAAACAGGCTGGTTGTCAACATAGAGTACAGATCAATTCCTTTCAAAAGAATGCAACCGTTCGTCTTTGGCGAGTGAAGAGGTTACATCGCTACATTTAGATGCATTGAGAGATAACTTGGAAGACGAAGACTATAGGTTTAAGGCAGATAAACTGGCTTGAAGATGTGAGAAGCGGAAATCACCTTGGAATTTGGAATCTTTGGTGACATCATCAGCATACTTAATAAGAAGATCGTCTGGGTTAGTGGGAAGGTCACGAATATAAAAAGAGAAAAGAAAGGAAGACAGAATTACTCCCTGGAGCACCCCTGATTTGACTGGTAGGGAGTCATAGGTTTTTCCAAGAAACATTGTGAATTGTGTTCTACCAGCAAAATAATCTTGGAGTAGAGAGAGGGTATTATGAGACAGTCCAGTACCTTGTATTAGAGACAAAAGCCTACTCCTATCAGCACAGTTAAAAGCGTTACTATAGTTGAGGAAACACAGACCAAATGCCCTTCCGTGCATGTCTAGGGATCGCAAAACTGAGTTTACCAAATGCGCAAGAGCATCTAAGGTAGAACGTTGTTTGCAACAAGCGAACTGTCATCTAGATGCCCAGTATTGGGAATAACGTTACTAAGCATCAACTTTTCGAAACGTTTTAGTAAAATAGAAGTACAGGCGATTGGTCGTAGTTTCCCAGCTTCTCTTTTGGGGACTGATGTGATGCGCACAGTTCTCCCGCAGTTGACAATTTTTGTTCCTCGAAGCAGCGGTTGAAAACACCGGAAAGTGGCTCCGCCAGATAATGTGCACATTCCCTGAGGACGACTGGACCTAGTCCGTCGGGACAGGAGGCTTTTGATATTTTGAGGCATTTCAGCTGGGCCCTTATTAGAGTTGACATGCGAAACTTCATGATGGTCAACTGATTGGAAATAAGGATACGATACTTCACTTTGAGTTGACGTGGAAAACATGCAGTTGAGTTTATCTGCTGTGGGTTGAGGCCCACGTAGTCTGACTTTTGTTCCACAGAGTTTTTTCATAACGCTCCAGATTTGCTTGCAATTCCGATCACCAAGTGGGGTTTCAGTGTAGAGTTTGTCAAGATTTTGG